ATGTGTGTGTATTTGTGTATACGTATATGTATATATATATATATAGACATATATATATATATATATAGGTGTAGTAGGTATATATATATATATATATATATATATATGCATATATATATATATATACATATATACATTATATACATATATATATACTTATATCTATATAAATATATATGTATATATATGTATGTATTTAAGTATATATAAGTAAATAATATATTCAAGGCGTGGTTAGTAACTGGATAACAATCAACCCTTTTATAGCCGCTGCTTATCGTATACCATTGTTGTATTGAAGAATCAGACCATTCGGCGAATGTAAGCGCCGATTCCATGGGTTTGTTCTGCAAGCTGCGATAGCTAACATATATTTATGCGAATATTAACACAAAAACACAGCGTCGTAGTAAATTAAACGGATCCGCTGCGATTAAGGCTCAAAAGACACTCTTAGACCTGCCCATCTGACAAACAGATATAGATGTCTTTTAGGGCACTTGAATCTCTGCTCTTTTTCGCACACAGGCTTGGGCGCCTCGGTCATATTACTCCAGGACACATCAGTGAGGAAGCCACTGTGGTATAATCGACGGGTTTCTCTATCCGTTCTACAGCTCCTTGTACTGTTAGTGGCCCTGTTAGCTATCGCTGTGAATTTTTATCTAACCCTGAATGAACAAAACACACTGCTAAAGGCCTGCCTCCACATTTGTCCACACGAGGCACGCGTGTCAAAAGCATAGCAGGGACTATAAATGCTCGGTATATTTTATCAGAAACTTGAAAAAACTTCGCAAGTGTAGGGTTGTATAGCCTTTTATGACCGACGGTTCGTGAATCAACCGCTCTTACTATATTATACGCCTGTGTATAATAAAACGCTCTCACTGTATTATACGCCTGTGTATTACGAGCTCGAGTCTTAGAGGTTCCAAGGTCATCCAGCCTCATTTCGGTATCAAAGGCATTTCCCCGATCGATGCCCACTCGAGCTCTCTTTTCAAAACGTCGCCTGTCGCTTATAAATATTACATGTATTTCTCCCAATAGTTTATCACGCCGTTTGTATCTTGTGTAGTTCTTGCATCGTCAGCATATCTTGGAACGCGCTGAGGTTTTCGTACATGTCTGTATCTTCTATCTCGAACGAAGGAATGGTCTTCAAGGACGGTTTGTGCGAGAAAGTGGGATGAAGAACAGTTGCGGTCGAAGATGGGTTGTTTAGCAAATCAGGTGCAGTGCTATAATGGCGGAGTGCAGGTTTTGCCAAGAATGTATGCTGCTTTGACTGATGGCTCTTCCCGTAAATTAAGCTTTGTATACTACCATAGTTGTACTCTTCACTGACTGGCTGGTGGTACACCCACAGCATTGGATTGAGAAAGTTCATGCCCATATCATTCTGGCCGTGCCTTGGTCCAGAAGAAGTATGTGAATCTGAGACAAATGACTGGGACGACGAGCTGTATCCCGAGTCCCTGCCGCTTTCACTACTAGACAGATCAGATCTAGAACTTCCAGGAGACAATTTCAGCGCCTCCGGTCCTACGCTTTCATCATCATTTGAGTGAGGTGAGACCATAGTACGTGGGGAAACTTGACCGTCCAAAACATTACTTTCAGATTTGCTGCCGTGTAAATTTCGTATGGAAATGCTTCCAAGAGATAGCTTAGAAGCAGCGTGCCGTAAACTAGTAATGCTTATACTATCACTCAATTTCCATTCCTTCTTGTCGCTACTTCTCGCCCTCAGATTCCTTGCGTTTGACACACTACCAGTAATCTTTGCCAGACGCAGTGGCACTGTATCTAACACGGCTAAGCCTTTTCTATTTTCATGGCCTCTATGCTCGCGCCATAAGCGATAGAATTCTTCTGCCGAACTGAAGGATTCGGGATGACTTGTAAAATCTTCTAGCTTTCGCTGAGACAATCGCTCAGTACCTAAATGATCTTTGTTGTAAATACACGTTATTGGGCACGTACTGTCTATGGGTACCTCAATCTGACGAGTCACCTTCGCACCCTTGAATTGTATATATGTGGTTGCAGTTTTTTTATACGCGCCACTAGATAATACATCATAGACTGCGCATCGTACGTATGCAAAGTCACGACGTTTTTTATCGTATATCATATTCGCAACCTCAAGGGGTTCGAATTGATTTGTGAATAACAATTCAGCTTTGAACTGTGTATTTATCACAACGGCAGAATATTAATATAGCGAGCGACAACAGTAGATAAATAATTATTTCACAATTATTCCATGGCTCCGTGCTCTATGCATCGATACACCGTTCATATTTATTTATTTTAAAACAAGCATGTTCAACTGTTCATTTGACTGAACATACATTTAATATTTGTTTTATCAAAATCAAAAAAAAAAATAGAAAATGTTCCATATCCGGCTTCCGCAACCACATGCATTCGAGATATCAGATTACAGATAGCAACACTATACCACGAGGGGAGCCAATCAATTCGAATGTATGTCCCAAAACATTGCAACGATTCTAATTTCATTTCAGCGTTGTCTGATTCCTCACATTTCTGCTGGTTAAATTTGGATTACTCATAAAGGTTTTATTCAAGAGTATTTTTTAAGGAATAAAAAAGGTAACCCAATTACCAGCATGTATTGTGTCCCTTTTGTGATTATCGCTTGAGTTTGTGAGCATGTTTTTATTCTTATTTGATTGGTCTAAAATGCGCGATAGGGAATATTATTCAATGTATCTAAAACAAGGTTAAACTCGCTGTGGCCATCTCAACTCTGAAACTCTCGACGTCAGTCGTCAGAAAACACAAGACATGTGTTGAGTTTGACATCACACACAGAGGGCAGGGGGAAGCCGGAAGCCGGAAGCCGGAAGCCGGAAGGTCGGATTCTCAGAAGGCGGAAGCTTATTATTGACCTGGTTGGGGTCCTGGTTACCTGGTCATGAGTAATTTAACCATTACTACTATTTACTATGTATTTTAGTTAAAAAAAATTTAAAACAACATACTACTAAATACACACTATGTTTTTAGTACAGGATTTTTTTTAAAGTATACCACAACGGACTAAAAGTCCGGATAGTATTATAAATATATATAAATAACTGGTTCTGTTCGGTTCGCACTCTTTTTAACATTTTTTTTTTAACTTCTTGTTAAAAAAAAGCAAATAAACCGTGTCCCGAAAGTACAAAAACAAGCATGACATGGCCGAAACTGTGGCAGTTGGGATTCTTCACTCTCTTGGACTCTTCTTGGGCGTATTTTTTGAGTATTTTTTTGTTGTTGTTTGTTTTCTACTTTAGTCTTTTTTTCATGTTTTAGTTATAAAAACAAACTAAAAAACGTTGGGCCGTTGGCAGATGGTACTTGGCAGTGGCACTTGGCCGTTGGCACTTGGCACTTGGAAGTTGGAGCCTTGTTGGAGGCCTTGGCATTTGGTACTTGGCACTTGGCGCTTAGCACTTGGCACTTGGCCCTCTCTTGTTGAGTCTTGGGGCTGGGCCCGTCGGGTGCTGCCTGCCCGGAATCTGGGACTCTGGGCCCCTGGGCCTGGGGCCTTGAGCAGTTTGCACTTCGAACTTTGAAGGCGCAAATTTTGCAGTAGCCTCCATTGTCCATTCTCCATCCTCCATAGCTTCCTGAACTACAATGTTTTTTTAAAACAGATAAATTTTTTTTAAATCAATTCTTCATAATAAATGCAGTATATCTATATAAATAGAATAAAAAATAACAGTTGTATTTGTTGAAAGAAAAATACAAATGACTATATGCCAGAGACTCGAATACTCTCAGAGTCCACTGGTCCAGACTCCATACTCCAGAGAGCCCGAACCATGAGAAGTGAGAGCCGAGAACTGAGAAGGCAGACTGGTGGCAGACTGGTAGGCCTGAGGCTGCAGAGGCCCAGACTCCAGACTCCAGGAGTCCAGAGGCCAGAGGCTAGACCCCCAGAGTCCCAGACTGGCAGAATTGTTTTATTTCAACAAAAACAAAATTTTCTAAGTTATTTTTTTATCAATATCCAGGCCTCCAGCCCTCCAGGAGTCCAGGCACATTATTTATATATTTTTTTTAATAATAGTATATTTTCTTTGAGACGTTCGGTATAAGCAGTTGGACTCCTTGCAACTTGTCCCTGACCGTCATACACAAGGGCCCTGACTCATAACATCATTGCGTCACAGAAAAACAATGAGACATCTATCGAGTTGACAACCTTAGTGGCTATTTGATTGGTTGAAAGGCTTTTGACCGATTTGAATATATGTTTTTTTTTCCTTTTTTTTCTGGCGTCTTCTGGCAGGCCTAGACTGAGTGTTCTTGTGTTTTATTTTTTAATAAAAAGGCTGTGTGTTCCAGATTAAAAACATACGTCATATTTTGCGTTTTACAGTGAGAATTTATATTGTTCGGTCCTATCTAGTTCTAAACTCGTTTATAAAAACTTGTTCAATTACGGTAATCATGGTTGTAGGCTTGTAGCTTCGTGTATATTTAAAAGCTCAAAGCTATGCGCGTACTGGGCTTGTGATACAGAACCCAAACGTCTTTGTTGCTATGACTGCATGCCTATGCATAATGGCCAGCACAAACCCACTCACCCCTCTGACACAACCCGCCTGGGCCCACGACAAACCATCACTGCGCATCCCGTACAGTATCTATGCCCACCTGAAAAATGTATACACAACCACGGAAGGGCGTACATCCGACCATAAAGCTCTGCGCCGACGATGTGACGATATCAGGAAAAACTAAACAAAATGCTGGTCCAACAAGAAGATCGCGGTAATAGCCCGGCCCCAATACTACTACCAACTGGTCATGGGTAACCCGCCAACCTTAAATCGGGGCAAAGCAAGACATAACAGCTTCAACCGCTGCTTCGAGCCTATACCAATCCGACTCTGTGCTATGAGTTGGAACATATACTTGCTTAACGAAGTAACTTTATTGTCATATTACATATTGGCTATATAGTATAATAGTATAGTAATTGCCATGTGCCTTTTTTGGGATATTATTACAATTATTCTGCTAAAATATAAACCGTAATATATTTTAGACTTATAGGGTTTGAGGGTTTGAGTCTTATAAATTCGTCTCAACACTATGATTGTAAAAAACACGTACATGTTCACATTGCTCGACTGCCGCACCGACGGCTGTCTCTGCCCTGTCTGCCCTGTCTGTCGGCCACAAATTCACCACCAGCCACTTTGCGAATCATGGTAGGTCGGAAACTGTCTCCCATTGGCTCTGACCTCCTCCAGCAACTACAGAAGCACCACGACTTCCACGGTATCTGGACTCTCCACGAACACCTTGGATCCTTTCTCCAGCATGTAGAGCAACCTCCGTACCCACACCCATTTCTGACATATCAACAGATGTTTGTTCTCCATTTCCCGGCTAATCACGCTGTTGAAGTACTACTTTCAAATTTCGGTCTAAACCAAGTCATCGCGCCCCTTGGGTTTGCCTATGATACTTCCAATCAGCGTGTAAACAAATAAAGAAGCGTGTAAACAAATAAAGATACCTAAAATATAAACCGTAATATGTTTTAGGCTTATAGGGTTTTAGGGTTTGAGTCTTATAAATTCGTCTCAATACTCTCCTGAATTTGGAAGTGAAAGGACAGTGTGTATACATAGTTGTATATCTTTTTGCAGGGTATACTACTGGGGTAGTGTCAGCAACATGTGGACTTGCTCTCCTCAGACTGCATTGAGGCTGGAATAATTGTAAGATGAAGATAAAAAAAGGGGGTGTCGTTGCAAATGGCTGGAGTATAAGTGGGCGATGGCAGCGAATTTGAAGTAGTGGAAGTTGTGGGGCGACATCTGGGGCTGAAGGCGTCGGCGCGAGCTTGAACTGGGAGGACGACATATAAGAGGTTTTGCCCTTTTTAATAAGGCTACATTATGTGTCCTTCGCAAGCAAGGATATACACTGTTGTGTATGCGTTGTACCTTCACTAACCATGGCAACTCGCGGTGATCAAGTTCTTTTTTTTTGTTAAAGAGTATATGTAACAACACTATATCTGCCACAAAATAATGAGCCGGTGTTGTTCCTGTAACCAGATCGGCACACTCGTTCATTTGTGTTTATACCCCCTTAAGGTGGTACGGCTAATCATCAGCATCATCCGTTAATGCGTACATGACTGATATACTCTGTCAACTAAAGTTGCCAGCTTAAGGTGCGCAATCCCTTTTCGCTTAGCATCTTTAAGTGTGTCTACTACGTTCTGGTGCTTTAGCTTATGGTTATGCGTCAGTCAAACAAGGATATTTTTATCATTCTGCTCTTCCAGCATATAGGGTGTTGAGCATCCACTTGCGTGATCTCTAAGTCTGTGTAGTGTTTCCAGACTCTTGTCTTTCTTTTGTATGAGTGTCATGTGTGCGTTCATGTGCGTTTGATATACTTGACTTGTTTAATAGTCGCATTATATTTGCATATACTTCGGGAATATCTTTCATTAATTCCTTTAGAAACCTTTGAACTGCTTAACGTTCAATCTAGTGGAGAGTGGAATCTCCGATTCTTTGACCTTGTTAAGGAAGATCTCAGAAGGGGTCCATTTGGTTGTTCCAATGGGACCTATACGACATATTATAGTATGTCTCCAGGGCGTCTTCTGCACGGCTCGAGTACCCTAATATAGGAAAGTATCTACTTCCCTATCTAAATATATTGGCTCACATTGTATCATGCTTATTAATTTACTGAGCCATGGATCTTTGCTCCGTAATGGGCAACACAACATAATGGTAGCTTTGTGTATATGAACATAATTTAATATATGGGCAATTACCTGCCATGGTGGATTTGCCCACGCATTATGTTTGGAGAAATCTAGTTGAAAGGCATCTCTTAAAGGATGATTTAAAGTCCTATAATTATTTAGTTGTGCATTATGATGTGCAGCAAACATGTCAAATGTATGTGGCCTAAATATTTTTTGAGCCAATTCAAACCACCTGGGATTACATTTCCAGTCAGTGGCTAGTAACTCACGTACGGATTTATTAAAGTCCGGTACGAAGCGTGATAAAATATCCGGTAAGTGGTTATGTATCCCTGGTAGATGTTAGATATCAAAATGAAACTTTGATGTCGTATCATGCCATCGACTCAGTAATTGTGTAGGAATACGGCCTC